ATATATATATATATATAGCTTTTAGGTATCAGCACACTTATCTTAATCACCTTTATGCTAAATACAACATTTTGTCATTAAACAGGAGACTAGATAAGCAAATACAGAATACATTGTCTTGGTTTATTTATATTTAGTGTTTTTATATGGGAAAAAGGTGACTTAGTTATTTGATTTCTTTTTTTTAAGTGTATGAACCTGGCTTTCAAATCAAAATGCTGTTTTGTACGTTTTAATAACTAATAAAATATCTCACTAATCATTAGATTCTGTATAATTAAGATGTTGAAGCAATAGAATAAGAATGCTTATCAAAATGACCTTTGGATAAAAATCCAAAGCCTTTTTAAAAAAAAAACAAAACAGCATCTTGAATTTGTTTCAAAAAATCTTGATGTGAATTGGGCACCTCTGTTTTTAGATTGCTTTTCTGGTGTCTAAAAATCTTTCAAAATCTATTCCCAAGTTTTCTAATTCTTCCCAACTTTTTCATTGGTTAGTCATTGTTTTATTTCTTTTTCAAGTCACAGTGTTACCATATTTGAATGAATAAATCTAATGAAAAGGCTGTTTATAGTATTAGCTTTGCAGAAAGAAAATCTGGAAAAAATCTTAAAATTAAAATCAGAATGAAGGTATGTACAGCACAGCCAAAAGCGTTGCTGTTACTTGAACAATTACTAGAAGTTCAGGCTGGGATGTGCCTCTCCCAGTCTGTTTAGTTAATGCTTGAAAAGAAGAAAATATGATAAAATAACTTTAAAGAAGAAAAAAAAAATTCCAAGCTTTACTCCTGAAGAGCAAATGGAAGAAGTTTAGTCTAAAAGTCTTGCTGCTTTGGCTGGGAGATGACAAAGGGAAAACAGTCTCCCAGCTCTACTCCTTTTAGATAAGGGATGGTTTGAGAAAACAATGAGAAAGGCCCTTGCAGCTGTAGAAGAGGCTGGTGCAGCCTAAATGCAAAAGAAGAGGAACAGATGGCAGTTGGAAGGCCAAGCAAAAGAGGAGAAGTACTATACACACAGAGTAGATCTTGGCAGGAGCAAATTTGGAACACAAGTAATTAATTTTTGAGAGCAGTAGATCAGATAAACTGTAACTCACGCTTTCTCAAGACGGTCCTGCCTGAGGCTGTTCTGAAATAATTTCTTTTGTGCTTTTGAAAGCATAGCAGGATCACAATCTAATATAAGCTACATGCTTGACCCTCCTCTCTGAAATATGGGCTGAAGTGTAATCTCAGTAATCACTGAGAAGGAAGCTAGAATATTCCACTTGAGCTAATGGAAGTGGGATGATTGCTGCAAGAACAGTGAGAGTGTTCTTAAGTAACGATGTGTTGCTGTCCCTCCTACCTTGTCAGTTGTAGGCAATGCTGAATTAATCTTCTAGGACGGGGAAGGAATTTTAGGTTGTCTTTAGTCTTCATTGCTCTGTATTTTTCAGGAAAATACATCAGGGGTTTTTGGCTCATTATCAGGTGTTCAATTATCAACAGACCATGATTCACAGTTGCTCACAAATTGTGTTGCAATTTTTTTAAATTTATGAAGCTGTTTCTACAAGAAATAAAATTCTTTCCTTCAGAAGGAAATTGTTCTATTTTACTTTGCTCAGAAGGACTATAGGATAAGTATGATCATATATAGATTTTAAAAATTGCTGCAAGAATTACTGTCTTTCAAACAGTATGGGTTGTCCAAAGGGAAGCAGTGCATGGGAATAGTAGAGGGATGGTTTCTTAGCTCTATTAAATTTATTTAATTCAGCAGAGACTGATATCTAACATAAGTATCACTTCCTTAATCTGGTATGTTGCCTGCATTATATAAGAGCAAATTAAAACATGTCTTAGGACTGGCAGATGGATGTAAATCTTCACTGCATATGGAAACTAACTATAGCCACCTCTTGGGAGGAAGCTATTTTCTTAAAGTCAAGATCTGAAGCATGTTTGCACAAGCAGACATGTCATTCTACTAGGTATATATTATGTTCTTGGATAACGGGAAAATCTGAATTACCAGGACATTTAACCTAGCACCTACATACTTGAGGCTCCTGTATATCACTTTGAAAAATACAGGGAAATGTTTAAATGTGGAGAGCATTGTTGTTTAATAGTTGCTTGTTCTCAAGTCTACTTTTTTCCCTCTCTAGATATGTATGGAAATGTTTAACTGAGGTTTTGTTCCTCTTCATAATAGAAACATGTATCTTAGTATAAGGCATGGTAGCAAAAGTGTTTTGTATTAATCAGTGAAAGTATTGTGCATATCCCATGTTCCAGTTAAAACAAATTCTGTCTTTGCATTCTGTAGATGCAGTACCCCTCTTCTTGAGACTACTTCATTCACCACACCAGAATGTTTGTGAGCAAGCTGTCTGGGCTCTCGGAAATATTATAGGTAACTCCTGTTATTATAATGATTTGAATTCAGGGAGCATTTCATTTTAGAATTTGGCTTTTTGATCATTGGCATTATCATATGAGACTATGTTTCCTCTAAGTTCTGTGGCTTAATATAATTTTTCATATGGCCAGACCCAAACACCAGAATTACATATGTACATCCTGTTTTTTTCTGAAGAATAATATCACTTGCTGCACAAAATATTCACAGGATAAATTTTATGCCTCGTAAAATATACATACATATCTGTACGTATGTATATTTAATTGAACATGAACTGTTGGTAGTGGACTATTGGTGAGGAAACATAGAATTTCAGTATCCCAACATGTCATTGCATACATTTCAGGATTTTCCATTTTTAATGTAATTTCTTTTACAACAATTTTCATTTCTGTAGGTGATGGTCCTCAGTGTAGAGATTATGTCATATCACTGGGAGTTGTCAAACCTCTTCTGTCCTTCATCAATCCCTCCATTCCCATCACCTTCCTTCGGAACGTCACATGGGTCATTGTAAATCTCTGCAGGAATAAGGACCCCCCACCGCCTATGGAGACAGTTCAGGAGGTAAATAAAGAATTACGAGACAGATAATTTTTTATACTCTGGACTAGAGGCCAAATGTTTTATGTTGTCATACTATGAATTTATGCATGTTTTTTGCCACTGTCTTGTGCCACTTACCAGTTGCTAAATGAAGTAATTTGACCAATTTGATGCTTCTTTCTAAGGCTGTAATAAAGGTATTTGTAACATCTGAAACTGAGTAAGCCTAAAGACTGATGAGCCATATATTAAAATGGACACAACAAAAAATTAACACACTAGAAGGTGTTAACATACTCAGCATTTCATGGTTGTATCAAAACAAGGCTACTAGCATGATTCTGTATATAGAAGTATTCAACTGTAACTATTTTCAGGAAGAGGAAATGTAAATAAACTAGTGAATGTAGTGTAGTTTGTTTTCGACTAGCTGTGAATATGCGATCAATGTCAAGTCCCCGCTTGAAGAGAAGCATCTGAAAATCCTTTTAAACTGGTGAACAGAGCAAATGTGGTGCTTATAGAGCAGGCACAGCTAGTAAAGTGATGCTGTTTGACTGGAACTATAGTTGTAATGTATGTAAAGTTCTTAATTTTAAAATGAATTTCAAAGTGTAGATATAGTTTTTGAAGCCATGTGAAGTATAATATTGTTAGCAATTAAACTTTAATGAATCTTTTAAAACGAAGCATGGAATGGGGAACCTTTCACAAATAATACTTCACCAAATAAAACTTCTTGTTCTAATCAATCTTGTCATGGCTCAGTTTTATATTTTCTCCATACATGAATAGTTAAAAAAAATTACTTTAGTCCAAGAGGGTTTTATGTACTGATATTAGGCTAATGATTTTTTTTATATTCTGTGGTAACAAAGCTTTCAAAATAGCAGGGGGATGGCTTGTCTCTGTTGTTTGCTTGTTTTCCCTCAAAATATAATATGCTCTCTATGTGTCTTTGAAATATAGTAGTGTCTTGTATTTTTACAGACTTTAAATATAATATATATTTTTTCATACATACTTTGAGGGAATGACCAGTTGCTGGGAAGTGTGTGAATGCAATATGCGAATGCAGTCTCAAGCTAAGCTTTGTGACTGCAGTACTTGGATTCATGTTTGTACAGCCAATTTTATTCTACTGTAATGACTGATGAACTTCTTTTCAGATTTTGCCAGCATTGTGTGTTCTCATTTACCATACAGATATAAACGTAAGTAATTTCTAAAGTTCTAAATATTTATATTCTTTGTTTTCTCTAGAGAAAAAATGCTACAAGATTGTGTTTAAGTGGCAAACTTGGTTTTGTGTGTTAATTTATATGTATTTAAGTAGTATATGCACAATTAAATTGTAGTATACTAAGTAATATAGTTGTAATTCAGAGCATGAAAAAGAAAGTGCAAACACCACTTCTGAAATATCTTTTCTAGAAGTTTTTTTTATTCTTCACATTAGAAACTACATTTAAAAAATCCTGTCGTGTGGAATTGAACACTAGAAATTAAAAGTGCTAGCTTTACCATCATCCTCACTTTTATTCTGACACAATTTATAATTTTGCATACATAATCTATACTGTATATATAGAAAAAAAAATATATAATTCTACATATCAGTCCAATCAAATATTGTGATCGTATGGGTAAATCAGAGTTTTGTAACCTGTTGGGTGTCTGACTTTGCAACCCTTTTAACTAAGGAAATCACATATGAAAATATACTTAAATAAAGAGCAATAAACTGTTGTTTTGTGGCACCTTTGGCAACTTTTCTTCAGGTTTTTAATGCTAAACCTTCAGTATTTCCCACATTCCTGATCCATGAGCTTTCATATATTTTCTGAGTAAAGTCCTAGAGGGGTGGACTTACCTCCTGAAGTCTCATGTTGGGACTTCAGGAACACAGATCTGTGTAACTGAGGTATACTAGGCTGCTCTTTTCCTTGTCCTCCTGTCAGGACTTCGTAATGTCTTTGATTCCTGCTCCCTACAGTGATCCTTCATTGTAGGGAAGCAGGAATTTACCCTTGTGGTGGGCCTAGGGGTAGAGTTTAAGATTGGTGGAACTATCTTTCATTACTTCCGTGCTGTAGTGGTGTTTCTGCTGCTCTTCTAGTGGTGAAGTGGGCTTGGCTCCACAAAATATTTGCAAACAGTTTAATTTGGGATTTTGCCAGGGTTTTCCCAGTGTAATGTGAGCGGGAGACAGCATGTGGTAACTTTCCAATTCGTAATTTGGACAAACCTGGATGGAAATTCATAGCAAAACCAAACATGCTTCTAACCTATAGGCTTTTTGTTCCCTCCCAAATTTGAAAGCTTTTGTGTGAGAGCTGCTTGAAGTAGATATGAGACTATGTGATGCCGGGTTTTGACTAATCTCAATTAGGGTGCCCGTCTTTTTGATCCTGAGGGTCAGGTGCTAGTTTGGAGGTACCAGTCTGGTCCCAGCCTCTCCGTACTGGAGCAGCAAACCTATCTTTGGAGATGAGTCAGTGGTGCAGGTAGGTCAGCCAACAGTCCTGTGAGCGCTGCTGGCAGCTGTTGCTCTCGTCACCAGCAGGGCTGTGGGGCAGCAAACTGGTGAGGTGCCATCTCTGACTGCTTCTGCTGTGATCCGGGCTCCACTGCAGCTCATTCTGCTGTGATCCGGGCTCCACTGCAGCTCATTCTGCTGTGATCTGGGCTCCACTGCAGCTCATTCTGCTGTCCCTGTGGCATTAGCAGGTGAGGGCAGCAGCAGACCATGTCAAGAAATCATTAGGACTGTGCTGTCTGGTCCCTGGAGCTGGGTGGAAGCAGCCTGTGGCTCAGGACTTTAAAGGCCTTCCTATGTTTCAATACTGTAATATTTAGCTATCTTAATAGCTGGAAATTTTAAATGGGTATCTGTTTTAAAAACAGAGTAGATCTAAGTACCTCAACAGATGATGTCCTCAGTGGTGTCCAGATTTCTCTTTGTGCAGTTCCTAACATCATGTCTAAGTGATGGGATATTCTTCTTTCTGCTGGCTTTGTTTCTGCTTCAGATAACTACCTTTCAATGACTGTAACTTTTGTACCTTTCTTTTTCTGAGGGTGCTTAAGTCATCCTTATCAGGTCACCTTGCAATAGTTGCTAGTCCTTTAGGTGTAAGAACTCCTTTCCTTTGCTGTGTATTTTAATCTTAATGTGAAGGCAAAAAAAGGCATACATCTGGAATAGTTTGCAGTTTCACTTCAGAACTGCTCTGTGGATCAGAAATGCTAAGGTGTAGGTCGATGGATTAGAGACTAAGAGGATTTGGGTATTCTGTAATTGAAAGATAGCACACCTAACAAATTATAGCAGTGCTGGGGGGGGGGTTGGTATTTTCTTCAGAAAGTTACTAGCACTCACCTCAGCTGGTTGTCTATCTTTGAAATGCAAATCAAGGACAAAAGTTTACCTTTGTGAGAGATGCTGTGTGCTGTCACTTCATGCACAAAAATGTGATACTTAATTTAAAAAAAAAAATGAGAGAGGATTTACAGAAATTATTAACAAATGGCCCCAGTTTTCATAGTTGTACATAATAATCTAACATTTTACTAATTAGGTCTCATAGTGTTTTGTGTTTTTCCTGTAACTAAATGGCATGCTATTTTTTTCCCCAGACATGTGGAATGTTGATCACTAAATTAAGACTCCATTATATGGATCTTACTGTTCAATGTGTAAACCATGTTCTTTCCAATTTGTAGATTCTTGTGGACACTGTTTGGGCTTTGTCCTACCTAACAGATGGTGGAAATGAACAGATACAAATGGTGATTGATTCAGGAGTTGTACCTTTTCTAGTTCCCCTTCTGAGTCATCAGGAGGTGAAAGTTCAAGTAAGTGGTTCAGTTGCTGTTGAATAGTCGTTTGTAAGCTATTGTCTAAAAAAATGTGCCTTAGAGTGGAGTGTATTTATTAGTGGAGTACTGAGATGAGCCTTTATAGATATATTTGTTGCAGGTAAAACTGAACAAAAAATGTTACCTACACTAGGGAAAAAAGATTATTAAAATGAAAACTCAAACAAAACAGTTCTAATATAGTTTTAAATAAAGTGACAGGTTAAACATTAACTTCCATTGTGTGATTATCAGGAGTGCCTTCCTTTTCTAGTCCTAAAATACATAATGACAACACATTTTACGTTTTCCAGAATTCAAGATATATGCATGCTTTTCTGTTGCTGCATACGTGGTTCTGCATGTTCTGTCTGAATAATGGAAATGAATTATTATTTTGGGACCTTTTGAATGTTAAAATATTTGTAGATGCTGAGTCCTTTTAGTAAAGTAAATTTCTAATTAGCTACAAAAGGTAGGTTAACTGAGCTTGTTTCATTAATTTTGAAGACAAAGGGAAACTAAAAGTTAGCTAATGTGTGCTTGATTTTTATAAATCCACCATTTTAATTGGGACATTTTTTTTACATATCTGTACATTTGTCATGTTTATTTAGTTTGTACTTTGGAGGAGACTTGGCCGTCTTGAAATTTGTTAGACCAGTTCACTTGATGAAAAGGACTCTCTCCGGTATTCTGTCACTTGCAAAGCCCTTACTAGTCAACACATGAAGATATAAAATTAATTTTTGAAAGTCAACCGAGAGTCAATAGGAAGAAAAGTAGTCGTGGGTGTTTTAATTATGTAGTGGAGAGCTGAATGGAGATGTAAGCAACCTTCTCAGATCAAAGCCTAGAAACAGTTAAATGTATTTGTAACTCAGATTAGATACATGATGAACTAACTCTCCTATTGTTTAAATATTCTTTTAATTTCTAATCTTTGCACTTTTTGAGTTGAGCTGCAGTGCATCTGTTCAGTAAAATGCTGTACTCTGTGTTTCTGTTTTGATGAAACAGTACCCATGTTTAGCATGTAGCTCGGAAGGTGAAGTGGTAAATTGTATTTTGCAAAGTGTTTTTACAGAGACGTCTTAAAATTATCTTTGTTTTAGCATAAGTAAAACTAATGTCTTTAACATGCCATTTTTTTTCCTTCCCATTTTGGGTATTCAGACAGCAGCACTGAGAGCAGTAGGCAACATAGTAACTGGTACTGATGAACAGACACAAGTTGTTCTCAATTGTGATGTTTTGTCTTATTTCCCAAATCTCCTGACGCATCCAAAAGAGAAGATAAACAAGGTATTATTTGTTTCTTCCTAACTTAATCTTTTTGTTTAAGAAATAAAACAGTATTCTCTAGAACATTACAGAAGAATTTCTTACAGCTTTTACTTCTGGTGTGTGAGCAATTTTGTATAAAGATGCAGCCTTTGGGGCTGCTGCTTAATTAGGACAAAAGCCAAGCAGGCATAGTGGCAATCCATGCGTTGGTGTTGATGCCTAGCGCTTTTTGGGAGGACTGATGGTTTTTGCTTTGGAGTGTGATACTTCTTTTCTTTTGCGAAGCGAGTAACTGCCTAACTTGCATTACAGTTTTTCATAACTAAAGAGTGTTACTTTTGGTTGAGTCCAGTGAGTTGAATAAGATTGATTCAGTCTTTCCACTCCACCTTTTTATAGTGGAGTTTGTTCTCTTGTTCATCTTGACCTTCAAGGGAGTAGGGAGTGCCACTGTCCTTTTCTGAAAACTGTCCCAGCATTCCCTCTCCTTCCTTTTGGCCAAGGTGAATTCATTGCTGGAAGGACTGGATGGAATAGGGGGAGTTAGATAAAAGAAAGTGACCAGTGCCCTCTTCTCCAGAGCTATATTTCATGTTATTTGCTTATTTTTTAGTCATTGTGCCATCTTCCACTGCAAAGATGGGGCTGGCTGAGGAGGAGTCTTTTTATTTAGCTTATGTGATTGCCCCACTTAGCATACCTCTAAGGGGAAATCTTTTTGGGAAGAATCTCTTATTTCTTCAGGCCCTGTCAGCTGTCAAGAGCTCTGAAGACGTTATCTTTGACAGTTCAAACTGCTGTGATGTGTTTCTGCCTGCCCTTCTAGCTCTCACGAAAGAATGATGAAGAGCTCTTTTTGAATGCCAAGAAAGGAATTATTTTTGTATAAGGGGAGTCTAGAAATGCTTTGAGGTTTGTTTTAGGTGGATTTTACAGGGGCAAATACAAATAAAAGCAAGACACACATACCTAAGGAGTTGAACCCATTATGGTTTTTTCCTGCAGTAGTTCATAGTTGGCTGCTTGTCACATCTGTTTGTCTTTTACTTAAGATTGCAGCCCTTTTAAGATATTGTAGATTGCCTTGACAAGTATCCCCCTTTGTAACCAGGAATTGGTAACTGCCCTTAGAGAGATGTTAGCTATGCCAATGAACCACCTGAAGGAGATAAATGCTGAGTAAAGTCTTAGGACTAAGAGTCCTGTCTGATACTAGAATGAGCTTTGTGAGCTCCACTTCATGTTTTAGGGAGAAAATTGGAGCTGGAGTTGGTCTTCCTTGTATCAGCACGGAAAGCTACTACTGAGTTGTCAGCAGTAGTATTACAGGATAAGTCCTTTTTTATATGAGGTTTTACCAGTTTTCCCATCTTCTTTGCAAAACTCATTGAAAGTTTAAAACATGGCTGTGACTCCAGCAGTGCAAAATGGATATAAGGTTTAAGTTAGTATTGCTTCCAGTGTATGGAGACGCTTCTTGTGTAAGTAATAATCTCACCCTGTGAATTAATCATGTCAATTTTACGTTGATCCCCTGCATGCTTGGCTTTCACAGTGCAATAAAAGTTAATGTGCTAGAAGTGCCATTGGGAAGGAAACCTGGAGGTTCTGTTTAATGATTGGTCATGGTACCATTTTTGGTTTTGAGGTTGTTTTGTTTGGTTGAGGTTTGGGTTTTGTTTTTTTTTCATTTGTTGATTAGTTTTTAAAAGTGTTTTGCTTTTTTGTTTTGTCCAATTGTAGGAAGCAGTTTGGTTCCTTTCCAATATCACAGCAGGAAACCAGCAACAAGTTCAGGCTGTAATAGATGCTGGGCTAATCCCCATGATCATACACCAGCTGGCTAAGGTCAGTCAAACTACCAGCTATGCAAGCTGTCATCCTCTTTTTATAAATCTGACACGAGGAGTCTGTGATTTTTAGTAATAAGCTTGACAGATGTTTCCATGCTGATTTTAATGAGATATTAATTTTATTTTTCAGGGGGACTTTGGAACACAAAAGGAGGCTGCTTGGGCAATTAGCAATCTGACAATAAGTGGAAGAAAAGATCAGGTATGTGTAGTGGGATTTCACATTGTCACTAAAACGTTGCACATGCAGCCATTTGTGAGAAGCACCATGTTAAAAGCACTTTTTTTTTTCCCATTATTTAGGTTGAATACCTTGTACAGCAAAATGTAATCCCACCTTTCTGCAATCTACTCTCAGTAAAGGATTCTCAAGTGGTACAGGTGGTGTTGGATGGTCTGAAAAACATCCTGATAATGGCTGGTGATGAGGCTAGCACAATAGCTGAAATTATAGAAGAGTGTGGAGGTAAAGTGCTTATTAGGCTTTTAAAAAAATTAATTTGTTGTTTATTATTCTGTCTTCCCATTGCTGCTGTTGGTATTTATTACAGCATGTTTACCATGGACTATTTGAATATGCAAGTGAGACTTTTGTAATGAAAGAAATGACATTTTTTTCTGTGTATTTCGGTTTAGGGATTTTCATGTTGGAGACAATCGTTAAAGGAGCTTTCTGTAGCTTAGGTATTTTTTAGGTTTAAATGAGAATTGTACTTCTTTTCATTTGATTATTGCATATACTTCATTCTGTGGTAAAACACGCAATTATTGCCTTAGTTTATTTCCTTGGAAGCAATTGTTAGGATCATAATTTCATTACAGACCAAAGCAGGATGAGGAGTCAGGCTTTTAGATATTACAATCCAAGTTTTAACACATGCTAATTAATGTATTACAGTAAGATAGCAGTAAAGGGATCTTTAATAACTACACTAGAAGTTTTCCCCTTATATTATGCATATATACCATATGCAGTTTGACAAAGGAACTAGGGTTTTAAGCTGCTCTTGGTGTTGGACTTTGTTGCTTTGTTGTTTTAAATTTGTAAAAACTTGCAACACACAAGAGAAGAAGATTCCTTTTGGTGGTATACAGAAAGCACAATGACTGGAACAAAAAATATGTAGTAGCTTACATATGTAGTACATACTGTGTATGTAGTTTTATCTGAAACCAGAGAAGTTTCTATTATTCCTTCTTCATAAAATGTGATATTCCATGGCAGGCAAACGTTCACAAGCTACTTTTTTTTCCATCTTAGAGGCAAAGATAGCTGTTGTGTTAGAGAGTATTTGCAAACCAAGCTGTGTCTTTTCTAGTATGTTTCAATACTGATGTTTCATTATTTTTCGTAGTTTAGGGGTTTTTTTCAAAATAGTAATTCACTTCAGTTTAAACTTATAAAACTCTTCTCCACTTCCTTTTATCCAGGGTTAGAGAAAATTGAAGCCTTGCAACAGCATGAGAATGAAGACATTTATAAACTAGCATTTGAAATCATAGATCAGTATTTCTCTGGTGATGATGTAAGTATGCTAAATATTGAGGAGTGTATGAAAGATTGAGGAATGTATGTGCTGTGCTGTTAGCTTAATAGGTAGGTTGTCATTGTTTCTCAGTATCAATTCTAGTGAACATAGGTTGTCTGGGAAGTCAGTTTCCCTGTTCATTTTTCAGTACAGCTTCCCTTAATTGGAAAGTCTTTGAAGAGTTTCTCAATACCAAGAATTTCCTTTAGCAACATCTGGTTTTGCCTAATAAGTTGATTGACGCTGACCTGATTTGTCACACTGACATGTAAATTGACATGTAATTACTTGTGATTAGAATCTAAACAGTTCTAAATCTGGCTCTCCTTTTTACTTTCTCATACATCAGTCTTTGGAGTGGGGGCTGGATCCTTACTTTCAGATAGATTACTATATTTCAGCTTTGTAGTTGCTCGGTCTGGAATCTGCATTGAAAAGGGTCATCAAAACTGTAACATCTTCTGCAACTGATTGGTCTAGACCATCTGATATTTTGTTGCACCCTGATTAGGTATTCTGACCCTTTGGGTTCTCGCTCTTTCTGTACTATCTGCTTGTGAGTGCCTCAGAAGCACTTAAGCAAGCAATTTGAAGACAAATAATAATTACCTTTTCTAGGTCATCCAGGGTGTCTGTAGTTCTGCAGCCTAACAGAACTGTGTCTTCAGTTCTCTTAAATTGAACTCTACAGATACCAGCTCTAACTTTAAGACTCATTAATTTTCAATTCATGGGTCCATCATGTGATTAGAAGTCAGCAGTCACCAGAAGTTAAGATAGGTGAAAAGTTCCCTCTGCTTGTAACGATTCTGTGAGCAGTGACATAATAGGCTCCATAATGACTCTGAGACTTCTGTAGCTAACTGAAGAGCCCAGTATAGTTGGTGTGGGTCAACAAATATCCCTTTTGAGGTTAGTACTCCCTTCGGTGCATTTACTTTTTACATAAACTAATGCAGTGTAATGTATGCCTGATTTGCTGAATTTACATCCTATACTCAGGACCAAAACTTTGCTTCAGATTATTGTTTATACTGTTACCATCTTTTCTGGGGCCTCTGAAACTCGAAATTGTAGAAATTCCATGACTGGGAGATAGGAGTTAAAACGAAAAACCAGACAAATTTTCAGGAAGTAACTATAAAGAGGAAAATAATCCTTGTCGTTTGAGGACTGGTGCAAAAAAAAAAAAAAATCCCAGAAAAAAAATCCAGGTTGCCCTAGGGAGACCAGAGATGGTTATGTTAGCCTGCTTGGCAGTGTTGAGATTGACTGCCCAGGAGTACCTGCCTTCTGTCACTTCAGAATCTTCTGTATTCTCATGAGATGTTGCTGGCTACTAGATATCCCTCCATTCTTAATCCCATCTGCTCCTTTGCTGAGCCCTGTGAAGCACACAGGCATGTACTTTAGCACCAGTACTAATGGCTTCCTGACTTGTGTTAAAGGCATGTGAACTTAGGCACGTTACTTTGTAGTATGCCTGCAGAAGTCAGAAATGCTCATTTATCAACTCACAAACATTTTGCAAAGCATTCTGAAACCACATTTAATCTTCATTTGGGCATGATGCGTCCCCCTATTCCTCCTGCGGGTTGTTGCTGTCACCAAAGGCCTTAATCTCTCCCTCCGGATTAGGGATTGTTACCCAAAGAGAAACAAAGGTTTTAGGTGAGTCAGTTCTGATGTCCACCCTACTCCAAGGCCAGATCGTGGAAAGCTATTCAGACCTACCCCCCCCACAACATGTCTTACCTGCTTCAGAATGACACACTGTTTGAAATGTGGCATGTGGTTCCTGCCGCCTGGTTTGTAGAGGTGGTGTGAAGAGAATAGATGCAGCTGGTGATTTGGAGGAAGATGGGTCGGGTTTGAAGTTGTGTGTATTGAAGCTGCTGCCCATGTTATTTGCTGTTCCCAGAGGCAGTAAATGCCTATAACTTCTAACAGCGCTGAGGAAGCTGAGTGGAGTTGGATGCTGATGCCTTTCATTCTGTATCCATAGAGTAATGGAGTACTTTTAGTTTAAAAAAATATTTCAGATTGCACTTATGAGAGCTATATAAAACTGCTCTGAAATGAGTAATTCAAAATCCTTCAGATTCTGATAGGAGATACTGAGTACTCTTTAAGTTTTAGATTTCTATCAGCTGCCAATAAAAATTAATTTTCATGTTGAATGAAAATGGGAGAAAGTACAAAACTAATTTTGGAATTCACAACTAGTGATTAGTGAACTCCAGAAGTACTAAAAATTTGCACTGAAAATTAAATTGCACAGCTAAAATAGCAACTGCTTTGACCAAACAACAACCCAGTCTCTATAAGCATTTCAATTTTCTGTTTCCCTAATGTTATTAGAACAGAGTTGATGTGGTGTTCTTTTCAAACATATCTGAGGAACTGAATTGGAAAAACTGATATAATTTTATTGCAATAATATTTTTTTTAAAAGAAAATATGAACATTTGTTAATATCTTCTACGTGTACTGAACTGTGAATCTCATTATTTTTGTTGTTATATTTCATAGATCGATGAAGATCCCAGTCTCATTCCTGAAGCCACTCAAGGAGGTACTTACAACTTTGACCCAACGGCCAACCTTCAAACAAAAGAATTTAATTTTTAAGTTCAAAAAAGTGCAGCTTCTCTGTCCCACACCAGTCTGAAGCACCACCAGTTGGCTACCAAGTGAAGAAACAAAAGGCTCCAAGACACACATGCCTCTTCATTTTGATGCTTCTAAAGCAAGCCATGTATCGGTCACTTTGCAGTTGCCAAATGTCACTGTCACATGGACTGTAAATGCATATGCATGATCTCTTAAACTGTTTCAGAATTCTTTTTAACAGTCCCAACTACTTTTTTTGCCTTTTCCCTGGTGCCACATGCTGACAACCGCAATCTGCAGTTTTGTTAAGAATGTTCCATAGTGGTGGCACATTGGCTTTCCACGGAAAAGTAGCTTCTTTGGAAAATGGTGCGCTGTGGATCAAGACACTTCGGTATGATGCGTACATTTTGGAAGACTTTACAGGGGCCCAGTTTGCTCTGAGCCTCGATCTTTGTCCTCCACAAACATATTTTCATATACTTTATGTGGAAGAATAGATTCAAAAATGCAAGCCAAATGAATTTCATTGGTGAAACTGAAATAAAAGTAACTTAAAAACCAACACTTGGCAATTGATTAAACACTTAAGTTTAAAACAAACAAAAAAAAACTACTTCAGATGTTAGTAATTGATGTGTGTTCATTAACTGCCTCAGAAACCAGGGTTGGAGAATGAACTGTAGATTTGGACTGGTAAAGCTTTTGCCATTATACCTAATTTTTGAGAACAGCGAGCCCTATTTGACCACTCACTTCAGCCTGTGTGTTCCTGCTGTTTTGAAGTAATCAAATGCTGTGCATGGTATTTTACCTGAGCTACAACCTGTTATGGACTTGAACTTCTGCTTAAGCTGAAAGCAAGAGTCCCAGACTATAGAAAAAAAAACAACAAAACAAAAGACTGTCCAAAAATGTATTGGTTAAAAAGTATCTTGCTTTCAACTTTCAGTAGTCAGTATATTTTGTTTTAAATTGATAATTGGATATGGTTGATTTATATTGGGTTTAAACTGTGGAGCTTTCATGTTTACTGTAATTTAGTCTTAAACTATTTTTTACTTAGTAACCAGTGCTTATGATGATGTGGTTGGCAACAAACCAGCAACTACTTAGAAGCGTCATAAAAGCTTCATTCTTGGAGTATTGGAAGAAACTAGTCTCAAATCTTATTCACATTATTTAAAAAGATACAAACTGGTTGATGTGTGAGGCTGTATGGAAGCTGCTGTTATTCAGCATAAACCTGATGTGCAGCGCACATTAAATAACTTCACATAAGGTATGTGAGGTCACTGCTTTTGGAAAATTGTCTGACCCAGTCATTTTCAAAGGGATTTTGGTATTGCTGGAGTGAAGATCGATAATTTTGAAATTCTGTAAGCTATCACACAAACTGGTTTTGTTGCTGTTGTTTACTGGGTGTAATTTCCCAATGCATTGATGTGAAGGGATAGAAAAATCTAAACTAATTTAGTTATTGGATGTGGGTTGTATTTACTGTGATGAAGATAAGGACAGATGCCATCAGAGCTTTGTGGATCAGCTGTTTTTCCACTGATGAACAACGCATAGCAGGTGTGCATTCATTAAATATATATCTGCCAAGGTAGAGCCACTTTAAAGAGTGAGTTGTCTTGTATCTCAGCTGGATACAAGCGTATGTTTAAACTGCAAGATTTTTACTTGCTAGATAATCTGTTTTAATATAGTGGTTTGGCCTCTGATTATTTATAGGTTTTATAAATTTTAGAATCAATTTCTCTTTAAGGTGGCTCAGATTTTTCAACTCTTGTGCACATAAAATTGAGTTGAAGTTCATTGTGCCTTTTTTCTTTTCCCAAAAGTTGAGTTGAAGCTTCATATGGTAACTGCATCCTATTCACACACTATAGTCTAAAATCTTGAAACTGTGTGGTGTTCGCTAAAAAACCTAAACAATAAAAAGTCAAAGTTAGGTAAGGTCACAAAGTTTCTGTGAAATTAGAATTCCAGCAGATGTTATTGTGGACAAATATTTCCCCCCTTCTAATGCAATTTAGTCTCCCTAATCTGCCGTATAGACTGACGGATACCCTGTTCAGCCTGCACTCACCGTTATCCTAAAGATTACCTATAAATTGATATTGAAACAACAGTTTTCCAGTACTGTGAAGATTTGATCCTTTTCTTGCACTCAATGCATTACATTGAAAGTGAACATCGGAGAACTGGGCGAGGCAGGACAAAGCATTTGCTCAGTTCTTTCTGTTGTGACCTTATCAGCTTTTGATTGGGATTGCACCATTTCATAGTTAATAAAGGAAACAAAGTATATTGCTGCACTTTTAAGTTTTCAGAACAGTGTTTAAAATTGCATTGTTTTTATTATTTTTTTAAACTATCAGTTAAAATAGACTAAAACGTTCTTTCAAAGAGGCATCTAAATGTGTTCCTAATTTTGTATATGGGCTTAGGTTTTGTAACCAATAAAAAGCTGCTATCAAATACTATAAAAAAATTCAAGAACTTATTTTGAAGATAATGAAACTGCTTAGTCTTCATGGATTGACTTAGGGGTTTTTTTTATCTTTGACTAGGTATTAGCAGAACTCCGCATCAAAGTTTGAAGTATGTTACAAGAATGAATAAAGTAAGCTAATGCAGTCATCATCTCTGACACTTTGGATACTGTGCCAGTACAGAGTTTTATACTTTTTAAGGAGATGTTTCCCAAACATGTACAGGAGGCTGTGGTAAGTGGGCTGCAGCTGATCCACATAACTGTATTGAATCGTGACTTCAGTGTGAAGGTGCACTGTAGTGGCAGGGAACTTTCAGTCTTTTTTTCTACCTCCAGAAACGTCCTTTCTGGATTCCCAGTCCTAGGCTCCGATTGCCAATTTCCACACTGATTTTAAGCTGGGGATGCTGCACAGGCAGGCCCTGCTCCTGGCCAGTGTGTGTTGGGAGGGGTGTGCACCACGAGCTGGCCTTCCCGTGGCCCTCTGCAGCTGCCTCGGTCATGAGCAACCCCAGTAGAGTGCCACTTGGAATATATCGGAGCCATCAGAGGCTTGCACTGTCCAGCAGCCCCCTAATTAGTACAGTTCTGCTTTAATTATGTGACAGCACTAGTGGAGGAAAACCTCTTGAACTGCTTGAAGGGTGCCTGTGACTCCACAGCTACAGCTTTGCCATCTTTGCTCCATGTCAGTCAGGGGCGTCACCTGGAGAAGCCCCTCTCTCCCTCCCTGTGGGTAGGTTGACGATGGAGATGAGCTTCCAGTGCCTTATTTTAAGCTTTGTAAATGTTTTTCCATGGGGATATAAAGGATGAAGATATCAAAATAACCCAACTCCGATTTCCAAAAGTAGTTTTTCTGGTTCCATCAGCTTTCAGTTGACAAAACTCTTGAATCGTGGGGTTTTTGCAACCTGTTAATCGTCCAGCAGGTCCGACCTAGGTGACTTGAAAGCCACTACAGTGGAATAACTGCGTTATTTTAAGAGACATATTATTTAGAAAGAAGAAAACCTAGAGAATATTGTAAAGGTCCCCATACTTCTAAAAATATAAACACTTTCATTTTGTTTGTTTGGTCTGCTAAAAAGAGAAATGAGTAAGAAGATCCACTAACAGGCGTATTTTTTAAAATCTCAGTGGACTGAACAACAGTTCGGGCCCATTTTGTTATTCTAATATGATCTGTAATGTCCTCTGGATTCTGAGTGTGTTTCAAACTAGTCATTTCTACTAAAGCAGCCTAGCTGTGTTTGTTGCTTCTATTTTATTTTTCATAAAAATACTCCTTTCTGTGGCATAATGATGCTTCTATTCAAACATATGTAGGACAACAAATTATGTCAACCCATTTGAAAGCACTTTTCAAGAAGAAAAAGAAAAAACAGTAGAAAACCTTGAGCTCTGAAAGGCAAAGCCTTGGGAGATGTTGTCGCAGGGATTTGTCATGATTGCTGCTGTCCCTCCGCGGCAGAGCAGGCAGAGTGAGCTGGAACCGCCTGAGCTGCTCAGGTCTGTGGCCGGGGGGTGCGTTAATTCAGACTGCCCAGGAAAATTGCCTCATGTTAAGCTGCACAGTTACAGACTAGAGCAGCTTTGCATTTTCCCAATTCTGGTTTGTGTGTATGTTATCCTGCCACAGAAGCAGGAACGGGCGGGTCTGATCTGTGCTGCTGGCTTAGACCCAGAGATCTCTAGCTGCCGCCGCAGCAGCACAAGCAGCTTCCTTTCCAAGGGCGCTCATGATAAACCTTTCTTGAGCAGCATACAGGTTTATAAAGGAATGTAGGGGTTGCTTTTTTTCAAGCTTGGTTTTTAAAAAGTATCGTGGGGACATTACAGCCTTGTGTATCACACCTAAGAATATTAAAACTGTGATTCTTGTGTTTTAAAATGAAGGCTAAAGTCTTTACTACTCTCTGCCTTCACCCATCAACAGTAAACTAGGGTGAATGTTGCCATGAAATCTTGGAGGAAAAATTTAGTGAAGGATTTAGGCACCCTGCAGGAAGCCCCTTGCCTGGAAACATCAAGGGAACTGCAAGAGGAGTTTAGTTTCCAGCTTGGCTCAATGTGCATTAAGGAGGGCCCAGGGACACACGAAGATGTGGAAAATGGATTAACCGTCCTCTTTACTAAGTAGGGTCCTGCGGAAGACAGTGGTGGTTGGATCTTTCCAGTGTGCTAAAATGAAGCATAAGAGAGCTTGTGTCTGCATCCTAATTATTTGCAAGCTCATGATCTTTAGTGGCTTTTTTTCCCTGTTGTGGGTTTGCTTGGTTTTTTTTAACCCTAGGTCTTGGAGCCAAATGATCCCCCACACATTCTCTGTTCATGAAGGAAAAGGGAGGATGAAATTGAAATATTTTGCCAGTGGCTTCAGTAAGTTCAGTTCTAGGGAGATGCTTAGGGAAGCCGTACCTCTCACCCTGGGATTAGACCTATCGTTCCTTTCTGTTCGATGCAGTTTACACCTGGTTTCCCCTGCATTTTATATTTCTAGATCGTGGCACGGCTCCCTGGAATCTAGATACTGTCTGTGTTTTATAGTACTGAAAATAAGGGATAAAGTCCTGTTCTCCTTGCCATGGTGTCCCTAGCTTACAGGAGAAATGACCGCAGTGAATCCTGGCCCCACCTCAGTAATTGTGAAAGAGTATTTGAAATAAGTTCTCTGAGAATGGTTTGGTGGTCTTGGGTTTTGTTGTTTGTAGCATGGCAGCACATAAGAAATCTCAAGGAATTAAATGTGTGTAGGGGGGAGTCTTTGGACTTGTCAAATTCTCATGATTAAATCAAACGTGTAGAAAAATTTCAAAAAATGTGTAGCTTCATCAAAAACAGGTAGCTTGCAATTTTGGCACCCCTCAGTCTCTGTCATGTTTCACGTCTCTGCGCAACTGCCCTTCCTGGTTTAGAACAAATATTAAACTTGGATTAAAGACCCACCTTTTTTCTGTGTGTTTGGAAGCAAAAAAAAAAAAAAGGTTCAAGCGCTGCTAAAACACATACCAATGCTTTCATCTCACATGGAAGAATTTCCATCCGAAGTGCTCATTTGTGAACACCTACATGGAGTTGGACATGCAGACACTGTGTCAGACACAGCGATAGTACTTGCTTCCAGCTCTGGCTGTAATCTCAGCGTTTCTTTGCTGAGAAAGAGGCACAATCCAAGGGGAGTATTTAGGAAGGTGGAATCTTGCTTCTGTGGCAGGAGCATGTTCTTGCTCTCCCTGCTATCACACTGCTGGGCTTTTAACCCCAACCTCGTTGTCAGCAGCACAGAGTCAAGCAGAAAGCAAGAGGTATTTAACGACAGAAAAGCCAGCAACAAATGCCCAGAGCCTGGAAAAGATTCACAGGCTGGCATGAGGGTGGCTGGAGGGCAGCACACAGGAGGTCCAGCCTCCTTGGGAGCCCAACTTAAGTGCTTCTACACGAATGCACGTAGTATGGGGAATAAACAAGAGGAGCTGGAGATGTGTGCACGCCTGCGGGGTTATGATCTTATTGTCATTACGGAGACATGGTGGGATGGATCCTACGACTGGAGTGTTTGAATGCAGGGATACAGGCTCTTTAGGAAGGACAGGCAGGGGAGACGAGGAGGGGGTGTTGCCCTCTATGTCAAAG